ATGGAGGAAATATATATTTATGAAAACATACGAGGTTCTTTTTCAAAAACTACTACGAGAATAATATGCAGTGTGGAGGGCAGCTGGATGTGTATAACGCAATTCACAAATTAATGAGCTAAGAGAATCAGCCTGTCACAAGCCTCTACGAATGCACACACAGGCAAGTTCTTACAGAGTTTTCTGCTCATCTGCTGATTACAATCGAACTAATAAGGGAACACCAAATTGTAGGGAAAATAAAATACAAATTCTATTATTGTTTGTCCATCCATTCTTGGCAAAAATATCCTAATGTTTAAACTTGGCAAGAAGAAACAGGGGACAGAGGAGCTAGTTGTTGTTCAGTGTACCAAAAGATGAAGCTTTTAGACAAATTTACCTCCAATTTAGCACCACTAGTCCATTAACCCATGCTAGAAGTTAATACCGTTGGAGAAGTTCTCTTAGAGCTAGTAAGTCACTACCGAAACATCAAATATGCCGAGTGTTTTGTGTTTGCTGAGTGTATTCTCTCGGCACTTTCGGCAAACAAGTTCTTTGCCGAGTGTTGCCATAAAAACACCCGCAAAAAAAAAATCAGTAAAGAGAGGTTTGCCGAGTGTAAAAAAAACCCTCGGCAAAGATGGGGCTTGCCGAGTGTTTTTTACACTCGGCAAAGGAAAAAATATTTTTCCGGGAAAGAAAGAGAAGACAAATGAAAAAAAAAATCTTTGCCGAGTGCCCAGATTTAGGACACTCGGCAAAGGAAAAAAATATTTTTTCTAGGAAAGAAGGAGAAGAAAAAATGAAAAAAATCTTTGCCGAAAGTGCCCATCTAGGACACTTTCGGCAAAGGAAAAAATATTTTTCTAGGAAAGAAGGAGAAGAAAAAAATGAAAAAAAACTTTGCCGAGTGCCCAGATCTAGGACACTCGGTGAACGAAAAAAATCTTTTTAACCCCCAATGGATGCGCCTAGGGTCTCCCCCATGCCCCTCCCTTCTCCGCGCATAGGCACGAGCACGCCCCCCTCCCAGCCGCAAGCGCCTGCCACGCCCCTCCTCCTCTCGGCCCCGGCCTGCCCGCCCTTCCTCCTCCCTCTTGGCGCCCGCGCAGCCTGCCTCCCCTCCTCCCTCGCCGACACGGCCCACCTCCCTCCTCCTCCCCTGGCCCGCCGCCCCCCTTCCTCTCTCGGCATGGCGGTGCTCCCCCTGCCTCTCCTGCCAAGGCGGTGCACCTCCTCCTCCTCCATCGCTCCACGAGATCCCGCCCAGTGCGGGCGGATCTGCTATGGTGGCGCAAGACGGGAGGCCGGATCCGGCCTGGCCAGCCGCCCCCTCCTCTCCTCTCTTCCCACACTGGCGCCCCTCCCTCCTCTCCTCCTCTCTCTTCTCTTGCGGATCCAGCGCCGCCTCCTCTCTCTTCCCCGGGCGGATCCAAGCACGCCGCCCCCTCTCCTCTCTTCCCGGCCCGGTGGATCCGGCGCGCCGCGTCCCTCCTCTCCCTCTCTTCCCGGCGTGGCGTGGTGGTGGTGGCAGGTGGTGGCTCGTGGCGGTGGCCGTGAAGTCGGGAGGCAGAGGCGAGACGAGGCAAGCAAGGCGCCATGCCGAGGAGACCGACGGCGGTGAGGCGGAGACCCAGGCGGTGGTGGCTTTTTTCAAAAAAAATGTTTGTGATGGTTTTTTTTATTTTTCGGAAAAATATTTGCCGAGTAGATTTTGGGCACTCGCGCAAAGTCTTCTTAGAGTGTCCGACAAAAACACTCGGCAAACTAGCATTTGCCGACAACCAGTTTACCGAGTGTCATTTGCGAGTGTAACACTTTCGGCAAACCGTTTGCGAGAGTGTTTTAGGGCCACGAAAGTGCCCCGGCACTCGGCAAAGCTCCTGAATCCAATAGTGAGTAGCTCATACTATTGGGCGACTCCAACAGTATGAGCTAGCACTAGCTCTAACCTAATAAATATGGAGGAGAGAGAGACTGTAGCAAGCAACTCGGATCATCATGCTGTGAGAGAAAGAGATGTGCACGTGAAATGTGCGAGACTATCTCTTGAATCCATACTATGCACTATTCAATGTTTAAAAAGTTGACTCAGCTAGCTCTGAGCTAGACCATTGGAGACACTCTAAGTGTGCCCTTAATCTTATGTTGTGGAAGGTAAAAATATGTCTATGGGAGCGACCGTGCTAGTAGTTTTCAATGCAAGTCATGAACATTTCAGTTGTAGCTTGCTGCCCTCGAGAATCAAGATTTTTCATATACGAGTCATGCCATATATGAGTCATGACTGCAGCACTAGGTCTAGAGATTATTAATTGCACCCTCTCTCATTAACACAAACCTAAATTAGCATTCCAAGCCTTATGATCATTAGACATCAGGGAACACCAAGTGTCCAAGTCGCATAGGCCAAACGACTAAAGTTAATATTAAAGTTATAGTGGCCCACCTGATCTATATATTTGTTGTTCATAAGATTTTTATTTGAAGCTTTTAGTATTTTAAATTTGCATATTTTGAGATTCAAAATTTTGAATTTTTCAAACAATCTTGGATGGAGACACATCCTATATTCACATAATTTGACAGGATTTAAAACTTTGCAGTTCCAACATTTTTCATTTGAGTACATTTAGTAGCCAGAATATTTAATACAAGATTACGAAATATATGTAAAAAAGATAGAATCTTATATATACTTACAAGTGAGTTGTTTCCGAGCAGTAGGTCGCAGGTTCGAGTCAGGCATCTTAAAGCGTCGGCCTCAAAAATCGATTGGAGGCGAGCATCTTAAGGCGTCAACCTCTAAAAATTGATTTTTGGAGGCGGACATGCCGATTGTCTCTATAATAGTGATTTACAGCTTCTCAAGATTGTCGGCGTAAAGGATGTTGAGGCCGCTGCCGCCATCCATGAGCACCTTGTACACGGGCGTGGTGCCCACGATCGGCCTGACCACGAGTGGGTAGTGCCACGGGTGAGGGACGTGGTCGGGATGGCGTCCCGATCGAATGTGATGGCCATCTCCGACCATCGGAGCCGCGTCAGGGCGGCAATGGTCTCCACACCATTCATCTCTTGCTCGGTGATCCGGCCCTGACGGTGTGACTCGTAGGTCTGGGAGCCACCAAAGATCATGAGGTTTTGCTCAGCCTCAGGGAACTCGGTGTCCTCCCTTTGTCCACCGTTAGCCTCCACACTGACCTTCTGGGCAAGCATCTGGGCCTTGACCTTCAGGTTGAGGGTACCGCTGATGTAGCTCCTCATGGTTGCGCAGTCCTTGAGGAGGTGCTTGGCGTGCGAGCCATGGAACGAGCGGGGCCCCTCGAGCGCTTTCTCAAAGTGCTTGGGTCACTGGCCCTCCCCTTCGGTTGAGGATGGGTGGCGTGGTTGGCCGCGGCAACCATCTCCTCCCCACGGTGCTTCATGTCCTTCTTCTTCTTCTTCTTCTTCTTGCCGTGGCAGTGATTGGCCGTGGCGGCCTCATCGCCGCCGTCCCCACCACTGAGGTGGGTGCCTGCCTTGCCCTTGCTGCTGAAGTTGGCTAGGGTGGCCTTTTCTCTTGTGGCGTACATGTTCGAGTTACATATTTATTATGTGCATTAATACTAATTAACAGTAGTAATGATTATTCTAGACATGCATGATACCATGCTAGTATAGCAATATAGACACTTGTCAATACATATAAAATGCTGCTGGACACTTGTCAAATGTATGAAACATGCAAATGGACATGTGTCAATGCATGAATACATTATTTTGGTGAGTGGAGGAAAGCCAACTATGTTACTATGGCAGTCTAGAGCCCTTGACTATGCATGTTTACATGCACGCATGAAACTTAGTATTGGGAGTTACTTTGAATGATTTCTTATCTACGTGGAAGGCAAGTTTAGCGAGCACTAGATTTTCTGACCATTGATTTGGTGATCCAACGGCTCAGCTCTCTAGCTCATCCCAAAACCCCACATTTTCTTCTTCCCCGCTCGCTGCTTCCCATCCTTTCCGCCGTCATCGCCCATTGCTCGATCTCCCTCCTGTCTCTCCAAAGCTCTCCCCTCACCTCCATCTCTGACATCGTTGAGGTACTCCGGCGGCCAGAGAGCACTTCTCCCCACTGTGGGCGCCTCATTTTTGCGCTCATTCACGGTGTCCACGCCCCTACCCCGCCATCCACCACCTTCTTCAGCAGCTCCCCGCCACCAGATCCGGCACCGCCCGCCGCCGCAACGCTAACCCAGCTTCACTGGGTTGTCACCATGATGCCCCTGCCCTTGCCCCGTCCAACCGCCTTCCCCTACTGTCCGGCCAGCAGTGCAACCGCCGCCTCACCCATGCCGCCCCCTGCGTCCACCGCCACCGCTGGTCTGCTGCCCACAGATTCCCTTTCCCCTTCTATATAAGCCCACTGGGGATAGATGAACCCTAACTCGCCGAAGACCTCGCCGGAGATGAAGAAGATGACACAAGGAAGAGACTAAACCAGGTACGTGGCTTTCGTTGATTGGTGAAAAAAATGTGAGTGTTGATGGAGATTGAAACACTCGAAGTGCAGTATAGCATTCTCCAAAAATATGTCTAAGAGAGCGATCGAGCTAGTAGTTTTCCATGCAAGGCAGCAAGTGTGAACATTTCAGTTGTAGCTTGCTACCCTCGAGAATCAAGATTTGTCATATACGAGTCATGAGTTCATGACGGCCGCATGCAGTAGCTCTGGAGATTATTAACAGCTTTCCAAGCGTTATGATTGCTAGACATCAGGGAGCACCAAGTGTCCAAGTCGCATAGCGGCATAGGCCAAACCAAACTGCATGCCCAACGTGACGACGCCTTCCGTCGCCGAAACGTCACCAGTAGAGCTTCACCGGCGGCAACACAAAGCCCGGCGCCTCGCCGGCACCGCTTCCGGCCGCGCCTGGAGGTCGCCGTAGAACTGGTACTCGGCCTCGTAGTCATGCACCTCCGTCTCCTTGCTCCGGTTGGTGTGGTAATGGTGCTTTACCCCCGCCGCCTTACCGAACCCGAACATGGACACCCGATCGCACACCCCGAGCGCGGTCACCACCGCCTGGAGCCCTGACGAGTTGTGGAAGTGCGGGTCGCTCCCGTCGCGCCTCCGCGCCCAGCCGCTCGCCGGCTCCCCCGTACCCGCCACGAACCGCCGCAGCGAGTAGTACTTGGCGGCGCGCGCGCACAGCGCGTCGAGGGGCGCGTCGGTGAGGAGCAGCCGGAACGGTGCCGCCGGCGTGGCCGTGGCGCTGCAGGCGAGCACGTACAGGAGGTGCTCGGGCCTTCTGACGTACATCGCCAGCGGCGCCGCGCGGCCGTTGGGGTGGCAGGCGCGGGGTGGTGGCCGCCGTGGCCGCGGCGCAGCGGTTTAGCACGAATGAGTGCGCCAGGGTGAGCGAGGTCCTGGCGCCGACGTCGCGCGTGAAGCCCGAGATGGGGGCGTTGTCGAGGCGGATGACGAAGTCGTGCGCGTTGATCTGAGGGCCGCGGCCGGCGCCCAGGAGGATGCCGCTGTTCCTGACGACGGCGCAGGTGCGGAAGCGCCGGCGCTGGCGCAGGCCGAGGAGGCCGGGGAGGTCGCCCATGACGCCGGCGACGTTGTTGGAGCCACGACGGTGGTGCTTGTGCGCGCGGAGGAAGGCGCGGAAGCCGGCGAGGAGGGAGCCGTCGGTCGGGAGTGTGTCGCTGGGGACGCGGAGGCGGAGCATGGTCCTCTGCCGCGGGCCGGATGTGCCGTTGCTGGAGTAAGGGAGGCGGAGGTAGAGGAGGCGGTGGTTGTAGTTGTCATGGCTGGGGGAGGAGGATATCGAGGCGTTGGCCAACATTGTGGCCGCCTCGGCAACGATCTGGTCACCGCCGACGTCGATCGCTGATAGCCGGTGGAGGATTGCGTCGTCTTCGGTGTGTTGGGATTGGGACGGGCCTCGTGGGAAAAGGAGGTGGCGGCAGAAGGAGAGGGTCACTAGCAAGAGCACGGCGAGGAACATGACTGGCGGAAGGTGGCGGCGCCTCATCTGGGCCGCTGCGGTGGCCGAGGTCTGGCTACGGGCTACCGGCATCGTGCTCCCCGGCGGTTAATCACAGATGGATGGGACTGCAGATGCTAATCACTCACTCCAGCGTCACATGTTCCGTCATCTTGTATTCCCGTTTCGATCGAAACCGTCGAGGAAAAGAAGGATGAGAAGGCGAAGATAGAGTTGCTCGGCTCCAGATTGTCATGGGCTCACCGCTCATGGCGAGTCATGCGTCGCAGGCAGCACTAGTTCTGGCGGGCGATTAGCAGGGTGGCAGGTCACATAGGACAAAGCGCATGCGGACTGGCCACACCAGTCGTCAGAAAACGATAATCAAGGCATGCATGCAGCCATGCACACGGATGATCAACACACAACCCCCACTGCGGTTCTTGGTCTTCCAACACGGTACGTATCTTTGATTCCTACACCTTGAACTTCATCATCGTATATATATACATATTTATTCATGAGAACACATACGAGGTTCTTTTCAAAATACTACTAGGAGAATAATGAGCAAACTGTGGAGGGCAGCTGGATGTATATAACGCAATCCACAAATTAACGAGGATAAAAATGAACAGCCTGTCACAAGGAATCTGCAGCTTTTGTTTGTTTGGCTATTGTCTGGACATGCCAAGAAGAAACAGGGCGACAGAGGAGCTGGTTACTGTTTAGTGTACCAAAAGATGAAGCATGATTTGTGGCGCCCTACAAGGCAATTTCACCTCCAGTGGAGCACCATCTATCGATCCGTGCTCTCGCACATGCTAAAATCTTCAGATGTAGAAGTATTAGTTATTTAGTTTCTAGTACTTAGTACTTTTGAGTGAGAAAATTACTCCCTCTGTCCGATAAAAGGAGACGCTACGAGACTCGTAAGTTTAACTTAGGTTTGTAAAAAATATTATCAATATTTATATTTTAAATAAGTTTATTATGAAAATATATTCAATGATCTATCTAATGATACTAATTATGTACTATAGATATTAATATTTTCTTATATATGTTTCGTGAAAATTAAAAATGTTTGACTTCTTGGGAGTGAGAATGACACGTTTTATGGGATAGAGGGGGTACTTATATTAAATTACATATTCTTTTTTCTCTTTGTTCAATATCACTGGTAGAGAACCGAGCTTTACTCCTGGTGGGGAACCCCCTCTAGTCCCGGTTCCCCACCCGGGAGCAAGCATCCGGGACTAAAGGGGGTCCTTTAGTCCCGGGTCAGGAACCGAGACTAAAGGAGGACCTTTAGTCCCGGTTGGTGTCCCGGTGGGTAACACCAACCGGGACTAAAGGTGCCTCCTGACATGCCACGATGGCTGGCACCTTTAGTCCCGGTTGGTAATACGAACCGGGACTAAAGGTTTTTTTCTTTTTTATTTTCTTTTCATTTTTTTGTTTTCTTTTCAAAATAGGTTTTCGAAGTCGTATTGTACGCTGCTAATTATACATTTATATGCGTGTATAGTATATTTCGGTTCAAGCACAATGAACGTATTAAATCACACAATGCAAGCATATATATATATATATATATATATATATATATATATATATATATATATATGCATGCATGCATCATATATATATTTACATGCATGCATGCATATGTGTATTTTACATTATATTATTTCATGTGCATATATTACAAAAGATTGCATTACAGTTGTTGTGACATAAAAAGTTTCCTCTCATCCTCTAGCTTGGCTTCAATGGCAGTGTTGGGTCGAAGTAGAACTCGCCCTTGGAATCGATGACCTGCTCATTAAAAAATCCGGCTATAGACTCTTGAATTGCTTTGATTTGGTCTTGCCGTATGACCTTTTCCTCCAACCATTGAGTCTACAGGTTTGAATTAAAGGAAAATAAATTAATATATGTACATATATATATAAAGACATAGTAACACAATCAATAATAATAATTAAATGAATATATAGTGTATTTTTAACGTACTTTGAGTCTCTCTCAGAGAGTTCTTTGAGAGAGCACCTTGATAAACTTGCAAACATAGTAACCATGTAGTTGTTCCCCTGTTCTCGCCTCGCAGACACCACTTTACGAGAAAAAGATTTGTCATCCAACTGGTGATCCGTGAATGCTATATGTTTAATTAATAAAGATGATGCGATTCTGGGACTTACTTTCAAAGGGATTACATTCAAGGGCGCTTTGCATTTTTCCATGTGTTGCTTCTCAATAAAGGTTTTCCAAACACTGCCCAATAAAAAATTTGCCACGTCATCAGATATAGTTAATCATCATGTTTGTGTGTATATATAGTTGCTAGAGATCTCAAAATTACCTCTGGATAATATCTATCATATCTTGGTAGTCTTGTTGTGGTTTTCTCATCGAGTCATAGATTATCAAGTGACTTTTCACCATATCGATGTCCATCAATATCCAGTGATTGCTGCATGTGTTTATAGGATATAACGTATAACACTCATTAATTAACTAGAATCAACATATGAGCCATTAAGGATGATCGACATGATTAACACTCACTTGAAGTTATAGGGAAAGAATATATCCTTCTTGTGGCGTTGGTTCACTAAGAAGTTCATGAGGTTACTCTCTGACTCATTCTTCCAATTAGTCTTTGGAGTAATTGGGTCTTTGAATACTATATGGGGATCAACAAAACTAATTTCATTGCAGCCCTCCTTTCTGAGCTCTGTCATTGTAAATCTGCATATATATAGTACTTGTTAGGATAATTTATATGCATATACACACATATGATGAGTTTAATAATAGATCGAAAGAATTATTACTTACGAGCAATAGCGACTAATGATAACTTTGTCCGTAGAGGTCGGTGGCATAGTTGATGAAATTTCGCAAAGTCAACATACATAACATCATCGCCACGGAACCAATGTTCGCCTCTAATTCGACACCAACACAGAAGTCTCCATCGGTAGACGCTTTGCATGTACCACTTGTTTAGCGGTACATTTGCGTCCCCGCATCGATAAGGCTTGAGGGTTGTATAGACTCGCCTAGTACAAATTTTTTCTTCCAAATATCAACCTCCGCCGCACTCTCAATGTTTCCATCACCAAACATCTCGTAAAGGTCGAGACCAGTCTCATCAAGAAACTCACCAAGGTGATCCAAATCGACATCCGGAGGTATGTTTGCTCGATGCATTAATCCTAAATTCGAACCATATTCATTACCAACAACTAGCGGGGATTGATTGGTGCGCTTGTTGTCCGAGTTGGGCAACTCCTTTTCCCCGCCCTTCTTTTTCTCTCATGCACCTCAATTGACTTGGTGAGAGTGCGGTCATAGTCCGATAACGTTGATTTGGACGGCTTACGAGATTCCCGCATTGTTGTTGCCGGTAAGAAGTCACCTTTTTCTTAGAATATCCGGAGCTACGAAGAAGCACGGTTTCTCCGGGTTTCTCCTTGCTTCTTGATTCATTTTAAGTTTGTCATAGAATCTAGACATGTCTTTTTATATGCATCGCCCTTCTTCCTTCTCTTTAGATATTATTTTGGGAATAGCCCTTGGTTTCACGGTGGCTTTGTTTACAAAGGGACCTGTTTCTTCGCTTGAGGGCTGGCCTCTTGCTAGGCTTCTTGGTAGGCGGGGCGGGGGCGTTGGAGACCTCCTTGGAGGTGGCGGCAGGCTGCGCGTTGGAGACCTCCTTGGAGATGGTGTGGATGCAGCCTCGTCTTCCAACACAATGTCATCATACAGAGCACTATGATGATCTGGCGATTGAACAATTGGATTTAGGTTGGGGGAGGATCTACTACAAAAAAGGAATGACATATTATTATGAGCAGATTGTTAATTATTTAAGCCAATACAAATTAATGATGTAGTGTTTTCATCCGCACGCGCACCTATGGTGAGGTAGTTCAGGGAGGAGGTGGAGCCGACATCCTGGAATGATGATGTAGCGCTTAGCCATAGAATGAATGTCTTCTCCGCTTCTCCTAGAGTCTTCTCGCCATCACCTCCAGGAATGTCAAGAGGCAAATCACTAAAACCTTTTTCAGCTTTATCTACCGAGATGGTAGCATATCCTTCTTGGATTATATTCCCATGAATCCTTGGTGTCTTGGTTCGGTCGATAGGATTAACAAGACCGATAGCCACCTTGATTGTGGAATTCTCCTTCGTAATGTGTAGCTCACACGCGTTGTACAAGGTTCAATGACGTCATCCACAGTGGAAGCGCAATCCTGTCCCCTTGATTTGGTATCTCCGTGGAAGCGCAATTTGCTTTTCAACCCGAAGCAGATTGGCTAATGTTGATTCCTCGGCTCGATGCCCGCTTGCTTGCACTCACCGCTATTTGCACTTGCCTTCCGATTTCCTCCTGCATTCTCGCTTCAAGGTTTTTTTTCCCTCCTCAGGCTTCACGCACCGCTTCCTCCAACCTCTGGAGCCGCCAGTGCCTCTTCTTCCTTCTTTCTCTGGCGACTTCAGAGGAAGGTCTGCATCTGAGGAATCCATGCTCCCACGAGACACTTCCTTTGCCTCTAGTTCGCCACCATGTTCAATAGTCCCGATGGCGTATGTCACTCATCCTTCTCTCTGTTGGGCTGAACGCACCACTAGCAAAGAGCTCTCGAGCATAAAACAATCTTTCTGCCGCTTCTTGCGGGTTTGCGCCATAAACGCACTTCCTGTCTCTGGTCTAGTGTTCTCCCATGAGCGAAAAACCAATTCTTTGCACGCTTCTCCCCACTCGAGTGATTCTGGTGTGATACCCTTGGCAAGAAGGTCTGCTTCCATTTTGTTCCACTTCTTAATGGCGATCGGGTAGCCACCGATCCCAAGGTATGGTGGTATGTCTTACATTGGGCATTACGTTGGTTCTTTATCACCGACTCACACCCTCTTCCAAGTCTTGTATTGCATAAAACTCATCCCAATAGGGCCTCTGCTTTGAGATCGGGCTGGGATAGTAAAATCTGTGCTATGTTCTTCTTCACATATGTCGTATAGGTGTTTCT